CATGAAATATGCTATCACTAGCAAAATGTAACGCTAGTTCGCATAGATGAAACCTAATTTCTATCTGTTATTAACAAAAAATGGTATTTTAGTGGTTTCATAAACTGTCATGTGAATTCTGACAATCATGTTTCAAGGTTATCACAAACCAGGTGGAATTTGCTACCACATGCAAAATTTAACGCTAACCTCACATAAGGTGCCTATTCTCTATCTGGCAATAAGAAAAAGATATACAATGGCGGTCTCCTAACCTGACATGTCCATAATTACGCACCTGTTCCATGGTTATCTCAAAACATGTGGAATTTCCTATTACAAGCAAAATGTAATGCTAGTCTCGCATAGATGTACCTGATCTCTGTCGTTTATTAATAAAAAATGGTACTTCGGCGGCTTCCTAACTTCTCATATACATCGTTACAATTTTGTTCCATGGTCATCACAAACCAGATGGAATTTTCCATCACAAGCAAATGTAAGGGTAACCTCGCATAAAATACCTAATCTCTATCTGGTAATAAGGAGAAAATATACCTTAACGATTTCCTAGCCTGCCATGTTCAAACTTGCAGTACGTACACAAGGTGAAATTTGCTATCCCAAGCAACCGAGTCCAATGCTTCCATGTTACCACAAACGTCTTTGTTCGTCTTTGGTGTGAAGCTGACTATCACAAGCCAGGTCCACGTTGCTATCCAAAGCAACCGAGTCTAATGTTTCAGCGTTATCCCAAACGACTTTGTTCGTCCTTGGTATGGAATTGGCTATTACAAGCTAGGTCCAGGTTGCTATCCCAAGCAATACTGTCAGAATGTTATCCCAAACGTCGTGTGAGAAACAGTCTGCAACGCCGGTGAGGCATTCAGACTAACATTCACCCATCTTGCACTTTCTGGCGTTGGCTCTGATGTGATGTAAAATCTGCTTTAGAGATGGCATTACTGGAGGTCTAAGCTATATGTTGTATGTGTTGATGATAATTCCATTGGATTCTGGTCTCAAATACACTTAATTGAGATTCAAAGCTAGAAATTAGTTGCGCAACCACTTTTCCTTATTCATTCTGAAAATTACACATGTAAATTTGCTGAATTTAAAAAATGAGACAAAAGAAATAATTATATTCACTGTACACTGTCGAATTACAAGCCATATACATGCTAACCAATACACATAATCATCCAGATGCGATCTTGCTATTATAACCAACTTTCCTATCAGAGATAAAAACTACAGACACTGACCACTCGGCCTCACAAAACATATGCAACCAACAATGCGTGTAGTTTGGTTGAGTAGTTCCTCCATAGATAGACGTTCACAACGATCCTAGTGAGCAAACGTGGAACGACTGTTTGTGCCCTAAAAACTACCTAGTCTGCAAGATGAGATCTTATAGGTTTTTTGACGTTTTATAGGTTTTTAACATAATACTCGTGCCGACCGACATGATAACCGTTTGGCATGAGAACAAGGAATGAGTGCTTATAGGCGGCCAGAGAGGAGGAAGGTAGTGGTTGGGAAGCGGTGAGCTGTTTTCCTTCGCTGCCTGCGCGGCTTGAACTCGTGGGTTTGGTATGACACCAGGTTACTACAAGTAGTATTTACTTCGACGAGACCGGAACATAATGACTTCTAGATGACATTACACAATGTACAGGGTGTAAAGTTAGTAGTGGGTCAACGGAAGTCAGGTGATAGAGGGCCTCAAAACCTATCGGATGAACCTCTATAAGTGTGGTCCGAAATTTTATAGTTCAGGAGATATTTGCAATTTTGTGAACTTTCAAACGCAATTACAACCATTAGGTTTAGGGCTGTGATTTTTTTCTGAGATGAGCTGAATGGTTAGTTTTAGCAATGGTTATGTCGCTTTCCAACAGAGCGTATTAGAAATCAACGCAAAAAATCTTGAATTTATTCTTTTGTGAAAAATCTCTTCCATCCCTCAACTTTTGAGGGCGGTAAAACAATTGTATTTCATTATTCATTTTATTGTAAAAACTATTTCAATCCATGTAGAATGAACCGTGAAAATTTCAGCTGGCTACGATGAGTGTATGGTGTCACATTCGTTGTTGTGATGCGATAAACGTAAGAAACGCAATAGAATCCTTACCACCTACAAGTACAGAACCTATTGTGTTAAGCCGCTCTTTATGGCGATTTACCGACAAATATGGAAGATAATTTAATTTAACTAACTTTTAAAGAACATGTTCGAAATGGCCTCCATGATTTTCAATCCACAAGCGACACCGTCTAATAAAATTGACCTTTAGTCTTTGAAATGAATTTGCGTTTTCCATAATTTTTATTTTCGCCTCATCAATTTTCTGACTTAATTGGTTGACATTTGTATATTCAGATGTATAGATTATCCCCTTATAAAACTCCCATATAAAAAAATCTAGAGGATTTAAGTCGGGTGACCTTGGAGCCATCGTATGTGTCCACCTCTACCTATCCAACGCCCAGGAAAGCCAATATGGCATGATTCTACTCAGACGCCAAACGTTAGATACAAATTTCGCGCTGGACCATTGCCTGACTTAATAATTTCGGTCGGCCTGAAGATGAAAATCTGCCATTTTGATTTTACAAAATGTTAATTAATACACACAGTATAACTCGCACTGTTAGGACGAATCTAACCGTACCTCATATGCCAAAATCCATCATGTCGTTTGACTGTGGCTCGTAAAATAGAATTCCTTGTTTACATGTATACGTATAGATACCCACATGCGTCAAACATGCAGATTTTTTAAGGTGAGGTACTTAACGTAGCAAGCTGACATTTTCAGGGTTTACTCTACATGGATTGAAATAGTTCTTACAATAAAATGAATAATGAAATACAATCTCAATTTTTTTCCGCCCTTCAAAGTTGATGGATTTTTTTTATGCTTCAACTACCACGAAGGCCTAACCCATTGGGTACCGTGGGGCTATAGGGGGATACATGGGAAAGGGGGGGACGCCACACGGACTCTGGCGAGGGAACACGTGTGCATGCAACATGCACACATTCTGGCTCCACCTACGAAAACCGCCGGGTGGTACCTCCGCGTTCGACAGTCAGATACCATCTACCACCTGCGGACAATCACAACATCCATAGCCAAGAGAAAAATTTCTCCTGGGACGGGACTCGAACCCGCACAGCGCACGGCGACTGATCAGGAGACCGAAGAGTCTACTACTGCGGCCAGCGCTGCTGCCTGAAAGATGAAAGAGATTTTTCACAAAAAAATGAATTCAAGATTTTTTGCGTTGATTTCTAATAAGCTCTGGTAAAAAGTGACATAACCATTGCTAAAATTAATCATTTAGCTCATCTAAAAAAAATGGCAGCCCTAAACCTAATGATTTAGTTGTAAATGCGACTGAAAGTTCATTTTCTAAAATTAAAGAATCCAGATCTGGATATTTTATTGTTAGTATAAAGTACTGTATAAGTGGTTGAAGTTAGGGGTTTTTCAAATCTATAATTTGTTCTTGGTGAGTCTGAAGTTATGAAGAAGCTCTATTTTTTAAAAGCCTCATTTCCCAGATAAATGATTCTGTGCATACTTCTATTGCACAAAATAGAAAAACAACACAGAAGGTTATTAACAGGAGGTAAAAATATACCTATCTAAGGAATATGTAGTAAAGACTATTATGCAGATAACAGATCTGTAAATTAAGTGATGAGACCGATTTCTTTATTTTTTTCTGGACAGATATAGCCGTTTAAATGTTTTCGATTGTCCCATAGTGAGAGGTGATTTTTTACCTTCGAGAAGGACTTAAGTCAGGCGAATAAGGAGGCCGAGGAGCCACAGGAATGTTTTTACTGACCAAAAACTGGTTTATTGAGATTACTGTGACAAGAAGCATTATCGTGATGCAACACCCAGTTGTCCTTCATCTGATGAACGGTGGTGTGAGTCACATTTAACTCCACCTGATTATTCTAACTGTCAACCTACAATCTGAACGCACAAGATCTTTCCCTTTTGAAAATGCCCTAAACCACCTCTCCGTAGGCCTGTTTAACAAGAGTTTCCGTTGCACTGTGCCAAGTTTGAAGCAAAACCACAACGTTGCTTGAAATTGATGTCACTTATTTTTAGAACACAATAGAAAAAACTGTAAAAAACGCTTTGGGCATCCAATTGACTCGAGCGAATTCAAACGTACTGAAGCAGTTCCGAAACTTGGATACTTTGGTACCTACATTATTTCATCATTAAAGTCAATCTGTCGGGCGCACATAGACTACAAAAAATAGTGCTACGTTAAGAATGTTATACGGCATTTCTCTACGAGGAAGCAGGCCAACAAAGTACTCTACTGAAAATCTGGGTTTCTTATACAAGTTTCGGCATTCTTTCATTTAACGAAAACTTCACAGCATAGCAAACAATTGATGATGCCTATAGGACAACTAACTCATTTAGATGGCTAGGTATGGACTGTCCCCAACACAATATTGGTGTATAATAATGGCTCAACGTAGACACTTTTGGAAAGCCTGAACTATAACCTGGAAAAATATGCTTTTGGTAGGCATAGATAGAATCAGCCGTATTTGAGAACAAGTTTTGGTTCAGAACAGTCTTGTTTTAATACAGTTGTAACAATTTTGGCACGGTCCAGTATTTACTGGTTCCGCCATTTTGAAAATACAGTTATATTGATAACACAGTTATAACCAGCGACTCGAATAAATACCATGATATACATTTTCAGATCATTTATTCAAGTTTTAGGTTCTTGTCAAACTTTAAAGACCTAACTTTATAGGATTTTTTTTGTTATTGTTGGAGGTATTATTATATCAATATATTTTATTACAATTGTACAATTTATAAATTATTTGATAGTTCGACAGTTGGATTTCACTGTCCCTTCCAGTGTGGCTGTACTAGACTTGCAAAATGACAATGCTCTTTTAGATCTTAGAGGAATTACTGTTAGAAATCACAATAGGTAACACTGCAACTTACTTGCTAAATAATCTGAGTACGATGCATATTGTGATGAACATCAGGAACATGGCGACTAATATTCCAATCATCGTCGGATCGACGTATCGTTCTGGCGTGTAAGACGTTTGAATTACTGGAAACAAATTAGCAATATGTTAATCTAACAGATGAAACTAATCCTGTGGTTTTCATAACGATAGGACTCTCTGGCCGCTAAATGAAACAACATACGCTTGAATTATTTTTTCCTGACGACGTTTCGGCGACCACTGTGAGCTCTTTCAAATGCAAGTGACAATTTTACAAGCTGTCAAAATGGCGGACTGGCTGCCTGTCAAAGATGAGCGCTTTTGTATATGTTTGAGTCAAAACTCGGTAAAAACCACTTTTCACTGTTTTTTGCTACAAAAATGGTTTTACCTACTTACTTGATAACAAGTGGTTTTGCCTCTCGTAAGGTTCAGACTATCGGTCAAAACTCATAGTAAGTTAAGATAGTTACTGAAAATTTCCAGAATAATCTCAAAAGTCTTAACGCAAATATTTTCAATGTGTCAAGTCAAGTTGTTTGACCATATAAAAATCAATTGACATCGTACGAGGCCTGTGAAATATAAACACGCAGAAACACGAGCTCGATTATTTTTTCGTAGGTAGAGACCATTTTATATTTTAGCCTGTGACCTGTAAGTTAGTGCGGGTCATTTTGAATCCAATATGGTGGTTGCAACAAAATCGCGATTTACCAGTTCTATAGTAACCCCTATGATATGGATATAAAAATAGGCCTTGATAAGACAAACATAATAAAAAAAGTGACGATGTAGACAGTATGACATATTTTTATAGATACTTGTGCGTGAGCTATGCCATCTAGCAGCAAGAAAACAAGTTATACCTGAAGATCAATGACTTTATTGAAAAGCGTTGTTGAATTCCTCCTAGGTAAAACCAATACCATGAAAATTGGTACAATCAGACATGAATAACGTTATTTTTCTAAAGATAACATTGAACTCGTCCCCGTCTATAAACAAGACAAAAAAGCAGAAATCATGTCTGTAAATGTTTTTTCAAATTGTTCATTCTATACAGAAAATGTGATTTGCATAATATACTAATTATAGATCTTTTTGAGAAAACTGCCAAATCTTGTGTTGGGGTTAGCGTTGTGCCTACTAGTGGTTGACTTAGGAACTGGAAACAAGTTCGCAGTAACTGCTTATGGCCGGTTTTGTTATATCTTTATTCAGACGTTCTATGTTGAGTGGCTCACGAGATACAGTATGTGTCCATTTATTCTGAATCACCCTGCCCACACACTCTGACAGGGTGCCTATCAACTACTTGTGTGCAAAATTACATTGCATCAAAGTGAAGTACAATTTTGAACGCGTTTACCTCCCCACTACCTTGAGTGTAACGTAAAGCGGTTCGACATTTATTCGACTCGATTAGTATCCACGTTATCATCCACAGGGTGTAAGTTAACTTTAAACTATAATAGTTTCATCAAACGACATAAAATACTGTTTTTTGTTTTTTGGGTACTAAGCTTGTGTTATTTTTCGAAAAAACCTCCATTTCCTCTAATGTCGCATCCACATATGGGCCAACCTAGGTCAACACCAATGTGTGGACGCAAAACAAATGCGCCTTGGCCGGGGTTGACCAACGTTGGTAGTGAATGATCTTGGTTTCCACATCCAACCAATGATACTGGGATAACGCTATACAGGGTGTTCATTTGAAAACTTCCCATCACGGATTTATCGAAAACCACTGATTAAAAGAAAAAACGCCGAGACACGCTAAAAGATTTGTCAAGTGGGACAACTTTTTAACCAAAAACTACTTCACCCCCTTTCCCCCTCAGCCTCCCAGGGTCAATCCTTTGAAAATTTTAAATACCAAGGGGTATCGAATAATAGCTTGTTTGAAAGGTCTTTCGAAGTCTTACATTTTGACGTTTGATTTGTTTAAATCAGTCGATTCGTTTTAGAGATAACTAGAAAAATCTTTATTTATTTTAATTTGCTCAATAGAAAAAAAAGACACGAAAATATAACTTTTTATTTCAATAAGTGTTCAAAATGTTGCCCGTTAGGGAAACTACCAATATAAACAGCATTTCGGAAGATTAGACGAGGCAACAACCAAATAACAACCTTTTTCCCGCATTCTTTTCATCAACACAGATATCCTGGGTGAACTGTATTTATAATTATATCTGCTTAGTTATTTGTTTGCTAAGGGAAAGAAAGAATTTAATTTGCTGTGACAATCTTGGGACAGTGAAAATTAATTTATTGATTCAGATTTTACTTCCAAAATGGTTTACACACTAGCCGAAAGAGTGGAAATGATTATAATTTATGATACCCAAACTCAATGTGCTCGGCAAACTGCCGTCACGTTTAACACCAGACATCCGAGAAACTCAACGGGTTCCATTATACAGGGTGGCGCATCGAAAACGAAACAGACGGATTTACTGGCAGCACAGTTTTTTTTTGGAAAAACGCTCAGACCGGTCGATTTTGTTTTTGAGGGGGACACAAGTTTGGAAAAAATTACGTTAACACGTGCAAACCCAAGGGCGGGGGTGTCACCAACCCTAAACTCTTAAATGGAAAGGGGGGTCGAGTGATACCTTAATTTAAAGGTCTTTCAATTCCCTTTATAATGATATAAAATTAATGTACTTCAGTTCAGTAGTTTTGAAGATTTATTGATTTAAAGCTTAAAGTAGACTTTAATAGGTACATCAGATTAGTTTGTACTACTTTCAGAAGAAATTTGACTAAAAGAATTTACTTAATAAGTACGCCCATGGTTTGTTTATAATTTTGTTGTTGAAAATAGCTATTGGAGCGATTTTTGTGCAAATATCTCGTACTTATTTTAAATAAGAATTTAGTACATAGTTTGCGATTGATTTGACCAAACTTTGTTGCTAAAATAACTTGTAACGCTTTATTACATAAATTAACCATGGTATATTCCACAGCAGAAAGAGTTGAAATTATCGAAATATTTTTCGAAAATAATCAGTGCGCTAATAGAACAGCAGAAATATTTAATGAGCGACATGAGAACAGTAAGGTGCATCGAAAATATGTTCTAGAACTTGTAGCTAAATTTCGGGGTCAGTCGCCAATAAAAAACGCAACATTGAAAATCCCATAAGGAACGAAGCAATAGAAATGGGGGTTTTAGGGCAAGTTTATGTAGATCCTACGTTAAGTACCCGCAAATTGGAGACTGTGTGTGGTGTTAGTCAACGTACTGTTCAACGGATTCTAAAGGCCCATAATTTTCATCCGTATAACTTGGTACAAGAACTTAATGAAGACGATTTTGATCGACGATTACAATTTTGTGAAGATATGAGTGAACGAATTACAAACGATGAACATTTTCTATTCAACACTTGCTTTTCCGACGAATGTTCCTTTTTCTTAAATGGCGTAGTAAATCGTCATAACTGCCGATATTCGTCCGATTCTAATCCCAGAATTTATCATGAGGTTCATACACAGCAGCCACAAAAATTAAATGTTTGGGCTGGTATTTTTGGCGATCATTTAGTTGGTCCTTTTTTCTTACCTGGAAATTTGACCGGTGAAATGTATTTGGAATTACTGGAAGACGCCATAGATCCTGCATTAACAGCCATAATTGAAAATCAGAATGATCGGCGGTACATTGCGAATAGGTTGATGTTCCAACAGGATTGTGTCCCATCACATTACGCATTACGTGTTCGATAATATTTAGATAAGACGTTTCCAGATCGATGGATTGGTAGAAGAGGTGCCATTGGATGGCCACCAAGATCGCCAGATTTATCATCTTTGGATTTCTTTATATGGGGTCATTTAAAAAGCAAAATCTATGCTACTCAGCCAACATCATTAGTAGACCTGCGACAAAGAATTGTGAATGAGTGCCTTCAAATTACTCCTCTAATATTGCAAAATGTGCGGCAACGTTTAAACGTTTATTATTGCATGGAGAGTCACGGTGGCCATTTTCAATATTTACTTGCCTAACAGGTCAGTGCATTCTTCATTTTTAAATTACTTTGCTGCCAAATGTATTGATCTCCACTAATGATGATGTATTAGTTTTATTTAAGCTTTAAATCAATAAATCTTCAAAACTACTGAACTGAAGTACATTAATTTTATATCATTATAACAGGAATTGAAAGACCTTTAAAATAAGGTATCACTCGACCCCGCTTTTCATTTAAGATTTTGGGGGTGATGTCACTCCCGCTTAGGGGACTGCACGTGCTAACGTGACTTTTTGCCAAACTTGTCCTCCTCGAAAACAAAACCGACGGGTCTGAGCGTTTTTTTAAAAAAAAAAACTGAGCTGCCAGTAAATGCGTCTGTTTCGTTTTCGATGCGCCACCCTGTATAAGGCGTCCAAGTCAGTATAATGTATCGGTTCCACTCGAACATCTGGTTAAAGTGGAAGAATGGTTTCGGTTAATTTCGATGAATTTTTTATATTCTATGTGCCATGGCGTCCTCAACAAATGCCTTAATGAGCACAGGCCCCAAAGCTCAGAGGGGCCCAGGATATAGGCCGTCCAAGTCGGTATAATATGCTCTATCTACTCGTAGAAGAGGGGTTTCGGTTTATATGACTGAATTTCTGAAATCTCGTGTATTTCGTCATCCTGAACAAATGTCTCAAAGAGCACATACAATTTGAATCACATCCCTTTCCATTGGGATTGGAGGAACAAGAGCGATGACCGTGAAGCTCCTTGTGCATTTTTCTATATAAGGGAGACTTTTACCTACGCAGCTGCACATTGATGGAACACGTCGTTGTGAGAGGACATTTTTAAGTTATTCATTATTTGTTGCAATCTACAGTTCATTGCTAAGTACTGCGCATGCATTTTTTGTTTAGTTTTTCACTGCATTATGTACTTTTTGTTGGTCGTTTCTCATATTTCGTTTATCGTTAATCGTGTTTCGTTTTTCGTCCCCCGTATTTCGTTTGCGTTTTGGTTTTTGGCTGTGCAGTTTACATTTTATACTACAGCATCGAGCATGGCGCAGCTCATGACATGCTATGCGTGTAATGTATGTTTTCGCTATTCGAACCATGTGACTTGGGAAAACTTGAGCAATCAAAATGTGGAGATAGCTTTGAGGTACTGTGAGGAGCTGAACAACTCTGCTTTTGTGATAGACAATGTATCACGTGTTTGTTTTAACTGTGAAATTATTACTTACACGTGACGAAGCGATCTTGTAAAATCCCGAAAGCCTTAGGCTGAATGTCCTTAGACAAAAATCCTCTGAAACATGAATGATATGTAATCACCTGAGTATACAAGCATCTCGGATATGCAGCGATGGACAATTGAAGAATGAAATGTCCACGTTAAATCCATTTATAAGTTTCTCGACAACTTTATTTTCCGAGGGATAATGCCCTACATTTGAGAGGTTTCTACTTAATCGCAGGTGGATTAATACATAAATATCGAGTACCTATACAAATGGTGGATAAAAGTGTTGCCCTAGCACGAGAGATTAAAACTCGATTGAATGACGTGGATGTGATACAAGCGTTGGTTGAGGATCAAAGTCTTGTGAGTAGACTTACCGTTTGGAAAAATTTGAATCAGGAAAACGATCCTCAGTTTCCTCAACTAGATTTTCAATACTTACGTCGATTGGCCCACGGCCCATGCCAACTTGAACTAGCTCCTTCGTATGTTCAGGACAAGATGGAACATGAAAGTACTGATATCTTTGAACTCGATATAAACAGAGACATTCCAGGCCTCTTGAGGAGAATTTATTCTCGATTCAGGAACGCGACCCGCAGTCAATTATGGATATGTTGTCGAAAACAACAGGGACGCGATGTGATGGAAAATGAAGACGAAGAAGATATATTAGGATACTATTGTATACGTACTTGTGAGGCAGGGGCAAAAACTTTGGGTTGGTGTGCACATATCGAAAGTATTCGGTGGTTTCTTGGATGGGCTCAGCATTAACAGCACATTGAGTACCCCAGTACAATGCTTCTGCGATACATCCAGGATGCCGCTAATAGCAACATCAATGGTAATGGCGCTCATATAGGAGAATTGATGGTTGATGGAGAAGATTGAAGATATGCAATGAAAAACGAAAAAAATGCAACCAATGATAAGAGAAATGATTATCGTGACTACTGGCATAAATATAACCATTACCTCCTATATTGTCTTCCGTTTTTGGCTTTGGGTCGATCGATACGTTTATTTAGGACGCCAAGACACGTGGAGTATCACAGATTCAGTCAAATTAACCGGGATCACTTATCCAAGCAGAGCAGATGTCTGAGTGGAACAGATATATATTTACACTGACTTGGGCAGCCTATGTCTTGAGACCCGTTGAGCTGTTCCATTTGAGACGTGTGTTTAGAATACCAAAATAGATAGCATTCCACAGATTTAGTGATATTAACCGAAAGCACGATTTCAAGTAGATTTAGTATAACCTATATTCCATCATACTGACTTGGACGCCCCATATCTCGGAACCCGTTGAATTTTGAAATCTATTGTGTTTACTCCCTAACCTGAAAGTTTGGATGAACTCCGTCAATGCATGCCATGATATCCCACAACATGTTTTTGAAAATGTCCGTCAGAAATTTGAACATCGCCTAAATCATGGTTTGGCCAATAACGGGCAACGTTTTGAGCACTTATTGAAATAAAAAGTGATATTTTCGTGTGTTTCTGTTTTCTATCTGAACAAATTAAGATGAATACAGATTTTTCTAATTTTCTTGAATACGAATCTACCGATTTTAAAAAATCAAACTTCAAAATAAAGGACTTCGGAAAACCTTTTAAACGAGCTATTACTCGATACCCCTTGTCAGTTAAAATTTTCAAGGGGATGACCCTGGGGGGCAGAGGGTGAAAGGGGGTGAAGTAGTTTTCAGTTAATGAGTTGTCCCCCTTGACAAATCTTTTGATGTGTATCGACGTTTTTCCTTTTAATCAGTGATTTCCGATAAATCCCTGGTGGGAAGTTTGAACCCTGTATAGATAAGCAACTCGATAGACAGCGACAAAAAATCTAGGTCAAGCACAATTCAGAAATATATGATAAGTACTTATATGATATCTTCTTGGTGTACCTTTTATATCACCATTAGCAATGCTTACATCAGAGGTTGCCATAAACCACCATAGCTATGTGCAAATGCTGTTCTGTGCCCGGTTACGCCGTGTGGCTAGTGAAGCTGTAATACCGCCAAACATAAAATTGTCAGGAAAATAAAAACCGAATTAAAAATATTTTTGCCAGTTAAAAGAATTAAAATTTTGGCAAAGGGCGGTGTTGGAACTCAACTAACTTCAAGACATATTTGTAAAATAAAAAATTTGCTGTGCAATAACATTATTCTTAGAATGACCTGGATTGGATGGACTGTGCTCTCTCTAACTCGATAAGCATTCATAAATTTTTAAGCAGTTTTCTGTAGAAGGTTTTGGATTCCTACTAGTCTCACCTACAATTGTACCTTAAAGGCTGAAATAGTAATCACATAACATCAGTAAAGTCTGCATAATGAACGGTACAAAACTTAGTTCCCATGATGTTGCATTGCATTTTGCATTGGTTATAAATTATATCAATTCCAATCGATTACGTCATCTTATAATACGCTTAAATGAAAAATAAGATTTAAAGTACATTCGACGATTTTTTTCTTAAAACAAAACACTTTTGCTCATAGTATCTGAGTAATCATATACTGGGCAGAGAGATATGGGAGAGAGAGAACACTGATCCAGCCCGCTCTTCAGTTTTCAATTGCCGATATTCCACCACTATTAGAAGCATTGATGCAACCGCTGTCACCCCTTTGCCGCTCTTCAGCTTTCAAACGCCGAAGTTCCACCGCTTTTAGTAACACTGAGGCCCCACGCCGAGTACTATTTGTCAAACGCACCCAGTATTATATCCTACAAGTTGGTCAAGTGAAGACCAATGTGAAGAGGCTCCGTTTGTTCTTCCAACATAGTATTCGTACCATGTTGGCGCCAGACTTGGCTCCAATGTGTTGGTCCAATGAGTGGATGGGACATAAAATATAGTTTTCGATAGGAAAACTGGGCTTTTATTTGCCGAAAAGTAATCTAGATACGCAAGAACTGCAATATGCACAAAAGGTGTATTCTAAATAATTGTTCTATCGAATCAGAGTCTCAAATTCATGGAACATCAGTGGCGTACGTACTTGAAATATTCTAAAATACTCCAGTAATAACTCAAAATGCAAGTAAATACTGATCCAAATCAAAGTTGGCCCCTTCTATGGAAAACTAGTCATTGACAAGTTTTTGTTGGAATCAGCAGCAGTGTTTGAGATATTTGATAAAATTAATTTGTGGGAGTATTGGCTGCATATTGAAAATCGGCCTATCTTTACACTCAGTTTTTTTTTTAAATCAGATTATTCGGTGGAATAATTTCATTGAATTCAGATGCATTCTGTATATTGGAAAGGGATGGGGGTAAGAAACTATTGAACCGAAAAGTGATCCAGATTATGAATCTGTATACTCAATTTCTCTGAACATGTACATTACCGGCATCAGGCTAAAAACATTAAAAATTGGTATCTTCTACTACATATTAATAACCACGTAATGAAACTGGGTTTGAAACTTCTAACACCTTCTGTTGGAAATGCCTTCCCTAAAAAGCAAAAGATCAGAGGTTTATCTCGTTTACAACTTACCGACACATTCTACACTTCCGTCCGGCTTGAAGATTGGTTGTTCTTGAAATTTGCAAACGCATATTCCTTCTTTGCATTCAGTCCTGTGATTAACAAATTCACACTGTTCGTTGAAGTAACACGATTGGTTAACAACAGCAGCTGAAAAGGGCATTAATCAAAATGGTAAAATGTATAGCTAATCCCCGAATTTTTAGTAAAGATTATTAATTAAAGCTGTAGAGTTGCGGTCTACGGACGCCCGCAGACAATTGTCTCAAAACGCCGAAAAACGTTTGACCATGTATGACAGGCAAAGCCTAAGCAATGTACCTATTGATATGGGGCACCCCATATACGTTTCCAGGCAAAATAAAGAGTTTTCGATCAGCAATTGAAAAAGCAAATTTCGATATATTTGTTGCTAATTTTGTGGTTATGGGACTTTGGGCGTTTTGTTTAACATTGAATAGCTGGCCACCCTTGGATAAGTACATATAGATTACTTTTTCTTCTAGCCCTTTATCACTTAGTTAATTCACAAATGTAATAGGAGACAATTCAAACCCTCAGCTTTTATTATTAAGTATAAAAGATCATTGCTCACTTTATTCCAACCAAGTGATGATAAAACTCTGTAAAATGTGCAACTTTCTCATTAATTCTTATGCCATAGCGTTGGCAAGCGTCAAATAATAAAACAGAACATCATATTTGGTAAAAAGAACTGAAACTATTGGAATACCTCTCAGCACAATTAACAGACATTGATAAATACAAATAAACATCCAAATATAATTCCGTGTTTTGCGTATATAGAACACACATTCTTTGTTGCATCCATTATGCAACCGACACCAGAATTCCGTAAATAATAATGGCCATAATTTTTTGTTAGTTGTTGTTTTTCAGTTTTTTCTGTACTTTCGGATATCTTCAAGACTATATGCCCGCCTTTTCAATATCATCCGTAAAAAATAAAAATTGTAGAGATATATTTACCTTACAAATATTTAATTATAAACGTAAGTGTTCCAGAGTGCCTGCTATAATTAAAATGTTGTAACTAATATTGATGATGATGATGATGATTTCCAGTCTGTTAGGTATATTTGGTTGACTTTATTTTAGGGCCAGTATGAGTAGTCGCTTGCCTACCCCGCGCGCGTGCGCTGGTACGACAATAAAAGGAACAAAGATACTAGCTCACAGAGATCCCCACTCTTCACGGCCAACGCGGCTTGGCCTACTCCAGTGAAGAAAAAGCCGAAGCATTCGCCGATTCGCTAGAATCCGAATGCAGACTCAATTACCATGAAGACGAGGACGACAACCACGAGGAGGCCGTGGAAGTCGCAGCCGAAATCATGAGGAGTCGACCACCTGGCCAGGAGACGGATCACCCCTCCAGTCCAGAGGAAATCCGTCTGATCATCCGCAGGTTGAAGCTCAGAAAGGCAACAGGATGCTGAAGAACCTTCCCTCCAAAGGCATTGCTGCGCTCACCAACATCTCCAATGCCACTCTGAGACTTAACCACAGGCAAGGACCGGAAGTTGCCCCAGAACTACCGGCCCATCAGCCTGGATTCCTGGATGGGCAAAATAGTCGAAAAGGCTATCGCCGTTCGACTAGAGAAGCAGGCAGAAGAACTGCAACTTCTCCCCCCAGAGCAATTCGGCTTCAGATCCTCCCACAACACGGAACTCCAAGCGCTACGACTGACAGAAAACATCACCAGCGGCTTCAGTCTCCAGTAGGCAACCGGCCTCGTCCTGCTGGACGTGGAACGAGCCTTCGATCGAGTTTGGCACGATGGACTCATCGCCAAAATGAAAGCCGCCGGAATCGATGCAAACATGTGCCAACTGATCCAGAGCTATCTAACACAAAGATGGTTCACGGTGAAGATTGGTACATGCCACTCAACAAGACGACAGCTGGAAGCAGGCGTGCCCCAGGGGTCAGCCTTACCCCCCCTGCTCTACAACATCTATACTCACGACGTACCGAAGACAGCTGACACAATGCTGGCCCTATATGCAGACAACACTGCTATAGCCGCCAAGCATCAACGACCCGAGATCATCCGTAGGAGACTACAGGATGAACTGGACCACATCCAGGACTGGTGCGTGAAATGGAAAATCCGCATCAACGTCCAGAAGACGCAGGCAATCTTCATCCAACGAAGAAGGATTGCAAGACCTCTCGAAGCATCCATCTTCGACGATGATATCCAGTGGAGCGACAAAGTCAAATATCTGGGGATCGTATTTGACAAGTCCCTCACGTGGAAAGCCCACATAGAAGCTGTCATCGCAAAGACTAGAGCAGCCATGGCTCAACTCTACCCATTACTGGGTAGACACAGCCGGATGCCGCTAGCGACCAAGCTACGGCTGATCAAGGCCATCGCCAGACCGCAGCTCGCTTACGCCTCCGCGGTCTGGGGGTACGCTGCTCCCAGCTACCGCAAGCGACTTGCTGCTCTAGAGATGAAGCTACTCCGGATCGCCACCAATGCACCATCCTACGTAAGGAACTCAACCTTGCGTAGAGACCTGCATTGGGATACCATTCACGAGTACATGAGGAAAAAATCGGAGAAGATCTTTCAGAAAGCTCAGGACCACCCGAACGAGCAGCTACGATTCCTCATGGACTACGATCCGGACGAGAGGCCTCGCAACCGCAGAACCAGGTACCCTAGACCAAGGTCCCAGTTGGCACCCGCTAACTGGAACCTTGACTATTAGACTAGGAGAACCCGCGGTTGCCCCCCCCCCCCGCGGCGTGGATGCAGAGGACCAGGAACCACCGGGACCAGGACCCTTCAGGACCAGGACCAGGAACAATATATAGGTAAGAGGACTTGAAACTCTTGATTTTTTCGAAAACAAGAGTTTCAAGAGAACCTAGCAGACCCTCTATCGATGATCGCTTAACGGCATCGATAGAATGTGCGAGGTAAAGGGAACCAACCCGGCGTTCCCAGAGACTGAAACACATGAGGAGACGTTGTAGCAGACCGCACAACACATGGCCTACCGAGACGCTGATGAGTCGGGCCACGCGGAGGTTAGGGTTTAGTGGGTATTAGGTGGTCTCCTCAAGAAAACCTGGAGTGCCACACACGCCGTAGCTCGGGCTATGGTATGGTGCGTAAACGCATTCCCCCCTCACCAAAAAAAAAAAAAAAAACACAGAGAGACCAAGCAGATACGCCGCAACCCGCATACCGTGCGAACATATATACCCGCAACCGCATACATTGAGACTACGTGTCTACGCAGCAAACGCATAGAGTCAGAACCGCTCTCACACCCGCAATCTTCACGCTCCTGCACCACCGCTACGCCAGGAATACGAACCACAATTAGACAGAATACCGGATCAAAGGTAGGCGACAACCACATTTCATTCTTGAACCAGCCGCTATACAGTCCGCTCGAAAACTCTAACATATTTTTGATCCTTCTCAACAGATTCGTCTTTCATCACCCTTTTCTGGAGCATATTGTCAATTTTGATTCATATTTAGTAATTTCATTAATTCATTAGATTCACTTTTTGCGTCTGTAGGTAACCACAGGACAGTACTCAGGTTCATTTTGTCGTGTTTCACAACCATGGCTGACAAACTTAAAAGGAAAAAGAATATCCGCAAAATGGAAATAAATAAGATTTCAGAGTGCCTTGACATTGCTAAAATGGCTCAGACCGACCTTATTTCCATTCGCAGTTCAAACAAAGATATAAAACTATAGAGTCGTATATGAAAGTTTCAATAAACGCCATAACACAATAATTTTTGTTAGATCCTGACCAAGATGAGGAATTTCTTGTTGAGGATAAAGTACGCATTGATGTTGATAACAATTACTATTCCATTAAATCCATTTATTATGATTTGTTTGAGGTTAATAAAGAGTTGAGGTCTGACACTCAGTCTGAAATATCCTATGTTCCACCCAGAGTGAAACTACCTGAACTAAAACTAATGAGGTTTAATGGTGATATTAAATCCTTCATGTCATTTTATTGATGTTTTCGATGCCTTAATTCATATCAACCAAACTCTATCCAATATAGAAAAATTCTCGCATTTGATATTATCTGTTGATGGGTCTGGTAAAGGTATGTTGCAGTGCTATCCTTTAACTTCGTCCAATTACTTAGTAGCTTATCAAGCACCTAAGGTCCAAATATACTAATAAACGGTTTTTAGCAACCTCACATTGGAATGAAATTGAGACTACGCCACGCATGAATTCTGAAAATCCCGCTCATCCTGAGAAACTACTAGAAACATATACTGAAAATATTGCCACATTGAAAAAACTTTGGTTTTCCGGTAGCTGAATGGGACTTTATTTAGACCAATATGCTTCTTAAACGCTTAGATTCAAATTTACTCTCACGATTTGAATTGCAGAGTGCTTCTGATGAAATACCGATTTACAAAGATCTCGCAGACTTTTTAGAACGCCAATGTAACGCGTATGATAATATAAATGATGCCTCTGACTCGCGTATATGCACAAATAATAATCATCTAAACCGTCGTATTAGCTCATCACTATTAACCCGCACAGATTCGAATCCTGTGCCAACCCGCTCTTGCTTCTTATGCAAAAATTCTGATCATTTAATCTATAAATGTCCGCTCTTACTTAAGAAATTGCATCAGGAGAGACTTTCTATAGTCAAACGCCATAGGCTGTGCACAAACTGTTTGAGTGATTGTCATTCTAATAGTAGGTGTATGTCAGTTCATACATGTCGCATATATAACGCCAAGCACCACTCGCTGCTTCATGTTATTCAATACACCAATACTTTGCAACCCTCTAATAATTCATCATCGCCTGTAATTGAAAACGCACAATCTTTGGAAAATAATATTTCAAATACTCAGTGTACGCTGGCCATTCGTCCCGAGTCCGCAGATGTGACCCAGCTAACTACAAATTATACTAAGTGACATATAAATCCGAACACCCAGTTTAAATGGTTTGATTTTAATAAAATTTTGTATAAGTACTTAATGAAGCATAATAAGTAAATGATAAAAATTTCAAAATGATTGCACTGCTTTAAAGCCCTTTGACCTTTAATAATGTGTGGATGCACCCTGATGTGCTACGCATTCTCCAACCCGCCTAGGCATGCTTCTGATCAGGTGGTCAATGTCCTCCTGTGGTATCTCATTCCAGGCAACCACCAACTCCTCTCGAAGTGCTTCTAGAGTCTGAGGAGGACGTTGCAAATTGAGCAATCTCCTACCCATTATATCCCACACGTGCTCAATTGGGGATAAGTCGGGAGATCTTGGTGGCCATGGTAACAATGTGACATCATTATGTTGAAAGAAGTCTATTGTGACTCTTGCAACATGTGGTCGTGCATTATCTTGTTGGAAAGTTGGATCTGCCAGGGTGTCAAGATAGGGTAAAAGATGGGGTTCTAGAACTTCGTGGATATAACGCTGCGCGTTCATGTTACCTCTGATGAAGATTAAAGGTGACCTGGAACCATAAGCTATAGCACCCCAAACCATAACTCCAACAGTGTGATGAACATGTCTTTCAACAAAAAACTGTAGATTCCTCCTTTCACCTCGTCGCCTTCTAACCCTGGCACGACCATCGTGCATGCCTAAACAAAATCGAGACTCGTCACTAAAGACAATACTGTTCCATTCCTGATCCCAGAGTGACCGTTGTCTGCACCACTCAAGGCGATTACGTCGGTGTTCTCGAGTTAAAGGGAGGACCCAGTGTGGCCGGTATGAAAACAAGCCAAAACTTCTCACTCGTCGGTAAACACTTCGCATGCCAATAGGTCTTCCGTGTTCTGCAAACCATTCATTTGCAATGGACCTGGTAGTGGAGAAACGGTCCCTTAAGGCCAATAATCTTAGGCGGCGATCTTCACGGTCTGTTGTTCTACGGCGGCGTCCAGTGCCCCTTGCTCTTTGCGTACGGCCTTCTCGAAGCCATGCCTGACAACACCTAACCACAGTGTCTACACTTCTTTGCACTCTAACTGCAATTGCCCGAAAAGAAAGTCCAGCTACCCGAAGTCCCACTATACGGCCCCTATCAAACTCACTAAGTTGACGAAATCGTACAGGTCTCCGTACTCTAGGCATCGTAACCGATCGTAAAGGATGTCAAGAACCAAAATCCGCCAACGTTGATTCTTTACTGCGGCTGAAATATTCATTTTTAGAGCGTTAGTGAATTAAAAAAAAGCAGTGTAAAAACCGGAATGTCTAACTGGTAAGGCTGAAAATTTTTTCACTTGTTATTTACAGTAAGATAAATACATTCACCAACTTTTATTAAAATAAAACCATTTAAACTGGGTGTTCGGATTTATATGTCACTTAGTATAGCTACACTCGCTTTAACCTGATTTTCTGTCTCCATTTTTGAAACGGCTTTCACAAAAATTATGAAAATACTGTCAAGATAAATATTGTACGTCTGGAGTCTATTGTGATCCATCAGTAAATATCGTGGTATCGTGATCCAAGTATCGCGATAAACATTGAACGTGTAGCGTTCGCCTAAGTCCTTGATATGTGACCATTCTCTCACATCAGTCGTAGTAGAAGGCATATTATCACAAATTTTATCTATGACAATAGCATCGAGATTTAAAGTAGAATGCTATTTATTTAGAGGGGTAACACTAACCGAGATTTGGCCTAAATTATTATACATTTCCATACCTCCTAACCCGTAAATAGTAACAGCACTCTTTTTCCTCGGTAAAGCTAGTTTTTCTGCGAATTTTTTAAAAACATAACAAAACTCACTACCTGTATCTATGAGTGCTCTACAACTCTACATGTTTGTTTATTTCCCAAAACATCGAAAATGTTAACCTTCAGCGTAGACAATAGTACTTTAGTAGAATGAGCGAAATATACTAAGTGACATATAAATCCGAACACCCAGTTTAAATGGTTTTATTTTAATAAAAGTTGGTGAATGTATTTATCTTACTGTAAATAACAAGTGACAAAATTTTCAGCCTTATCAGTTGGACATTCCGGTTTTTATACTGCTTTTTTTTAATTCACTAACGCTCTAAAAATGAATATTTCAGCCGCAGTAAAGAATCAACGTTGGCGGATTTTGGTTCTTGACATCCTTTACGATCGGTTACGATGCCTAGAGTACGGAGACCTATACGATTTCGTCAACTTAGTGAGTTTGATAGTGGCCGTATAGTGGGACTTCGGGAAGCTGGACTTTCTTTTCGGGCAATTGCAGTTAGAGTGCAAAGAAGTGTAGACACTGTGGTTAGGTGTTGTCAGGCATGGCTTCGAGAAGGCCGTACGCAAAGAGCAAGGGGCACTGGACGCCGCCGTAGAACAACAGACCGTGAAGATCGCCGCCTAAGATTATTGGCCTTAAGGGACCGTTTCTCCACTACCAGGTCCATTGCAAATGAATGGTTTGCAGAACACGGAAGACCTATTTGCATGCGAAGTGTTTACCGACGAATGAGAAGTTTTGGCTTGTTTTCATACCGGCCACACTGGGTCCTCCCTTTAACTCGAGAACACCGACGTAATCGCCTTGAGTGGTGCAGACTACGGTCACTCTGGGATCAGGAATGGAACAGTATTGTCTTTAGTGACGAGTCTCGATTTTGTTTAGGCATGCACGATGGTCGTGCCAGGGTTAGAAGGCGACGTGGTGAAAGGAGGAATCCACAGTTTTTTGTTGAAAGACATGTTCATCACATTGTTGGAGTTATGGTTTGGGGTGCTATAGCTTATGGTTCCAGGTTACATTTAATCTTCATCAGAGGTAACATGAACGCGCAGCGTTATATCCACGAAGTTCTAGAGCCCCATCTTTTACCCTATCTTGACACCCTGGCAGATCCAACTTTCCAACAAGATAATGCCCGACCACGTGTTGCAAGAGTCACAATAGACTTCTTTCAACATAATGATGTCACATTGTTACCATGGCCACCAAGATCTCCCGACTTATCCCCAATTGAGCACGTGTGGGATATGATGGGTAGGAGATTGCTCAATTTGCAACGTCCTCCTCAGACTCTAGAAGCACTTCGAGAGGAGTTGGTGGTTGCCTGGAATGAGATACCACAGGAGGACATTGACCACCTGATCAGAAGCATGCCTAGGCGCGTTGGAGAATGCGTAGCACATCAGTTTGCATCCCCACATTATTAAAGGTCAAAGGGCTTTAAAGCATTTTGAAATTTTTATCATTTACTTATTATGCTTCATTAAGTACTTATAAAAAATTTTATTAAAAGAAAACCAC